CCCAAGAACAGTGAAATATTCCCCTACAATATCCCAAGCAGCCTTGAAAACCCCAGAAGAATAACCATCGTGCCTAGGAGCCTTATTATTCCCTTGCCTACAAATAGTAGCCCTGATTTCCTCATTAGAAACTTTTTGGTTTAGCCATGCCCTGCCTCAAAAGAAAGAGAGAACTGGAACAACTCCCTTAAGTCCCCCACACTGTAACCCCTAATATTTTGATCAACCGAGCCAATTTGACTGGTAAAAAACTTTACCATTTCAGCTGAAATACTATCAAAAGTCTCCAATCTTTGACATTTCTCATTCTGTAGAATCCTAATAGTATTTTTTCCTCTTCACAACATCATTAGAATGAAAAAAATATAGTGCACTAGTCACCCTCACAAAACCAATCAACTTTAGCATTCTGTTTATGAAAAAACTCTTCAGCCTTTTCAAACTCCAAACGCTCCACCTGAAAGACACTTTTCAATCTCCAAACCTTTCAAATCAACAGAAGACAAAGTAGTCACCTGATATTTTTCAAGTTGTTCTCTCTTATCAATCTCTTTACCAAAAATACCCTCAAAATATCTCTTATTCAATTTATACAACCTATGGTTGAGCCTTTTTAATTTACATAACAAAACAAACATGGGATCCCCTAAGTAGGCTCTCTCCAGAAGTCCTCAAAAAATTCTTTAAACTTAGGGTACAAGGCCCAAAAATGAAAAATATTTGAAAGGCTTAGGCATAGAGGCCAAATTTTCCTTTTCAACCCAAATAGCAGCCAAGTAGCAATCGAAAACACATGGGGCTAAAAATTACACTTGAGAATTAGGAAATACAGAATACCAAGCAATATTAACCAGAATCTGTCAAGTTTCCTTGCAAGAAAATTGGCAATTTGCTTGTTTGACCAAGTGAATAAAGGACCAAGGTAGAGATGATCAACAAGACCCACCTCATCCATACAACAAGACACATCATTCATATCAAGAGTAAGAAAAGAACTATGCCCCTCCCAATTAGAACTCTCAGCAACTCTAGTAGTGACATTAAAGTCACCCCTCACCAGCCAAGGTTTACTACCAACTAGAGTCTCAAACCCATTTAATTGATACAAAAAAAACTTCATAGAAACATCATCATTAAAACCATACATTTCAGAAATAATCAAATCCTTACCTCTCAATCTACCCTGAATAATAATATATTGATTAGTAGAACTAAGAACAGAAAAATCCAAACCAGACCTCTAAAGGACCCAAATTCTACCATTGCCCACATCATTATAGTTCCGGCAACAATTCCAATCAGTAGAGAAATTAGAAAATATAACAAACCTTAAGATCTCTAACCCTAGTCTCTAACAAACATAACACCTCAACTTTAAGAAACTCAGACTCTACATCATTTTTCGTTGTTTAAGGGGAAGATCAAATCCCCTAACATTCCAAAAAGCTACAGACATGGAGAAAAAGAAGAAATCATACCTCTAGTCGAGCCACCAACATCCATACAAGTTTTTTTAGCCTTCACAACCTAATATTTCTTCTTAGCTTTCATTTCATGAAGGATTTTAGCAACACCATGTGAAGCTAGCCTTGGCTTCCTCACTATCCCATCACAATCTTCTAAAGCATTTGTAAGGACTTCAAATTTGTTTGAGCATCACACCTTTAACAACACCCTATGAAACAAACCCAGACTTCCCAACAACTTTTCCATTACCTATCTTCCTAAGTGATTGAGCATCAACACAATTCCTAAGAACATCCACAGTAAAGCCACAAAGCCCAACTGAAACCCCTTCAACAGAATAATTCCCAAGAGAAACATCACCCTTTCTTGAAGAACTATTAGTAACACCAACTAAAACCATAAGATGAACCACTTTCTCTAAACCAACACCAACATTAGACAAGGGGCTCTCCACTTGCCCCTGTGACAAGACACCCTGACCATGAGTCACTTTTAAAGAACTATCTCCCCTCAAGCTAGCACAATAGAAGGCACTGAGAAATTACCTTCTCCAAACCTTCATCCTTATTAACACAAGCTTTACCTGAATGACCAAAAAACTTACAATTAGAACAACAAGGTGGGAACCAAGGGATAAATATATGACCTTAATCACAGAACCATCCCTCATCTTCACAGAAATCAAATGAGGAACCTGAACTCCAATCCCAACTTCCACACAAACTTTAGCAAACTCCAAACTCTCCTTGGAAGCAGTAATGGTGTCCATGTATAGAGGATTACCTAGAGCACTAGCAATATAACTAATACATTTCTTAGAATATAGCTCTAGAGGGGCCTAAAACAATTGCACCCAAACATGTATTTTAGCCAAATCAAAATCCAGCCTAGCCAAATTAGATTCCCATTTCCTTAAAACCAAAGTTTATGCTAGATTTGCCATAACTTATTCTCAAGGACCCAATCACGAGAAACAACATTACCAAATGAAAACACATAAAGGTTAGAACTAACAAGGGTTACCTTTATCGTCATCGATTTCTCCACATCAAATCCATAATCTTTTGCATCGCACCAAAATTCGAAGTAGAACCAATGAATTGCCCAACTAATGAGTACCTCCACTCAGAAGCTCCTTCCTCAAACAATCATTGAGGAGGATAAACAATACAAGAACCATCACTTGATTCTGGAGGGAAAAATCCAACGACTGCTCCTCCACACCAGAAAATAGCTTCTTCCAGTCCATCAAGGCCACAAAACTAAACTTATCTAAACAATTGAAAGAATCATGAAGAATAATCAAGAATCAACAACCAAATCACTATAAATCAGCAAAGAATAACCCAGGGTTTCTCAAGAACAATAGGTCAATTATCGAAAAAAGAGAGAAAAATGGCAATCGAAAAAAACCAAGCCCCGAAAGGTTTTGTTTTACATGTTTACTAAAACTGGAAAAAGTATTCATCATTTTGTTAACAAATTATATTGGTCTAATTATATATTTTTTTAGATTCACTTTAAATATGTATAATTATTATAGTTTTAAATTAACAATTATGCACAAACTATGTTATAGATTTTTAGGAATAATATCAAAATCATTCCATGATGTTTATTAAAATGATCATTTTAGCTCTTGTTCTATTTTTTTGAGTATTTTGGCTCCCAACATTTCATTTTAAAGTAAAAAAAACCTCTAAAGTTTAATTGAATAGTCAATTTGACCCCTTTTTTTCTAGAGCATTTAGGCTCTCAATATTTGTTTTAGGATAAAAACGACCCTTATTTTATAATGTTAATCGTTTATTAACTAACGTTTTCCATCCACATAGGAGTTTTTTTGCCCCAAAATTAAAATGCTGGGGGCTAATTTTAGTATTATACCAATTTTTTAGCATATTTATATTGGCCCGTCCAATAAAATTTTTCTGTATTCATCACTACAACACCTGATAATAGATTCGACTTAGACAAATCATGTGTGTCTATTAATAGTCATGTCAAGCGCAACTGATTCATTAAATAGTATGGTCCAAAGTTTTAATAGTAGGCATGTAATTTTTTTTCATTCACCTTAATACACTAAATTTAATTTAACAGTTTTCTTAAAGTAATGAGTATGCAATTCCTTCCTTTTAAAGATACATACATCTGTTCTGTTGGATAGTATGAAAACCCAGATGCATGGTTATCAAAAGGCATTTTTTTTATCCCGGAAGCTTTAGTCCTCGGAAATGTTTGTGAAAAAATCCAAAGAAGTTTTGATAATACGATACTCGAAACCATGATCTCTAACAATAACAAATATTCTTTTAACCATTGAGGTAGCTTGGTTCATATTTATTAATTAATCACTTAGTGTTAATTTTGAACCTAACATGGTGAAATGTAAAGTTTAATGAAAGTGAGAGGACTAGAATAGTAATGACGGATAGTTGCACGTGATTGAAAGTTGGAGAAGTCTAGTCTTCCCGAATAACCCAATTCAAGAGCAGTGACCAAGTGGAGCATACAAGTAGGCCAAGACATGACCACCTCTTCAATCCGCTATCCAACATTAATGTTGGTGTTGGACATGTGAACGAAAAGTAGGATGTTTCCCAACATAAACGTACCTACCAAGCACAACCCCCATGTCTATGTCGGGGGCCAAACTCCTTGGAGACCTTTTTGTCCTTCTTCTCCAACCAACTTTCAATGGTAGGCTGTTATTTCCAGCTAGTTCCCCTTTGGCAGTGTTAACTAAATGCCATTGACAGCCTCATGTAATCTCACTCTAAAAGGAATAATGTTGAAGTCTGGATGAGTATAATATAAAGTAGTATTATGTTTAATTGTTTATAATATTTCTTAATCACTGATAATGGCCCATATACATTACAGATGCAACTACTCGAACCCAATATCTCGAGAAATAATAACACTTCATCTAATCATTGAGACTACTCAATAGATTTGTATTATGATTTGTTAGTTGAATAGTTCATTCCATTATTTAGGTGATACATTAACGTAACATATGGTTATAATCTTTTATAGCTATAAGTAAAGAAAAATTAAATAATTCGAGAGTAAAATGTATGAAAAATTAAAGATGAAGTCTATCTATAGATAATTTTCCTAAAAATTATAGTAAAAATTGAAGAAAGTGAGAACAAAAAGAAAAAAAAGAGAGGAGAAAAACTAAAATTATATAAAGAAAAATAAGAGAGTAACTAACAAGTGGGGAGTAACAAATACACCTTTTAATTGCAACTAGATCAATTGTTTCTTTCTAGTGAGAGTTAAACAAACTAATCACATAAACCACTCGTTTATCAATAGCTGTTGGGTTTCCATCATGAAATCAAATGCTAATATACGTATGGTACAATTGGCACTTGGAAACTTCAATCAACCGTAAAAATGGGATTCATGTGCTTTAAAATATTCTTGTTGCAGAAGATGTTAAAGCAACAACAGCCAAATTATCAGTACTTGAAGTCAAAAAAAACCTTAAGAAGTACAATAATTTTGGAAAGTGTCAAACCTATAAGACTCATCACTGTCATGGCATCGCTAAGCTGTCATGGCAGCAACTTACAAAAGCAAGCTCATGAACAATAATAATAACGAATTTCTAATTTTTTATTTTATTTTATTTGAAGTTTCCAATTCACAAAAGAAACCGAGAAAGCCCTACTTTGTCCCCAGTAGCTTTTAGATCCTTCTGGATTTGCTCTCTATACTCTTTGAAGCTAAATTTCCTGTACAAACTTGGCTTGCTGCAGCTTTCTATCACTGTTTCGTATGTGGGGCAGTAGAAGTATGCTGCTGAGTACCTTTCACACTCTTGGTTGGCAATCACTCGGTGTGTTATGCTCTTGTATGTCCCATTGCTCAATGCCTGTTAAAACATTTAAATTTGAACACCCTTTCCATTGATAAATCATATTAAAAAAAGAGTATATATATGTGTGTGTTTACCTGATAAAAGTCACCGATGTTGACAACTAGGGTTTCAGGATTTGGTTTAACACTAACCCATCTTCCATCTCTATTCAACTGCAACCCCCCTACTTGGTCTTGCGACACAATGGTTAGGAAATCAGTATCCGTGTGAGGGATGATTCCGAACATCATGGAAGAATATGGACACGGAGGGTATCGGTTCAATCGAAGAGAGCTCGAGGTCGGCGAGCAGTTCTCTCGGAAATAACTCGCTTTGATACCCAAGCTTTCTGCTAGATGTTCAGCCAATGTTTGTGCCAAAACATTAGCTTTTTCTGCATACTCTTCAATGGTTGACCTGGCCAAGAAAAAGGGTCTTGAATAATCATATAATTAATCTAATAGGACAAAATCAAGTATATGAGGATGGTGGCCAAGACATGGCTGCCGGCTGTACGGGGGCCATGAGCGGGTGGCATTTGATCTCTAGTGTGATCGATATACCAGTCACAGGTAAGGCCATAGACATGTTTGGCGGGTAGGTGGCAGCGTAAGGCCAAACATACCAGCAAACTAGGTACAAGATATATGTAGGACTAAGATAAGGTTCTGAGAGTGTAATGTACAACATTGGCCATATGGGGTTTGGAGATGATACTTTAGGCATCTTTCTGTCTCTTCACATCTAAATCATATGGTTCTGTTCAAGTACTTAAACCTACTATACTGAGATTTTGTGATACTTAACCAACTGTCCTATGAGATTTTGTGAATAAACAAAGTGCAAACAAAAACTAACTATAGGTTAATAGGTATTTCTTCCAAATTGAAATTAAGTACTCTACTAATCCATGATAATAGCAGTTTAGGGTTTCCAGATGTTTTCTGAAATTGGAAACAAATGTACTCATTTTAAATGTTCAGGGTTAGAATATTAATTTTCTGCAAAAAGAAAAGACTAAACTGATACAAGAGTGTAATTATAAAACTGTAATTATAAAACAGTAATAGTTCCTCAAATGATATCTCAGCAAAAAAAGGCAAAATTAGTGAATTTCCATTGTTTGTTCTTACATGAATTAGTGTACAAAAAACTGTACAATTGAAGGGGAAAAAATAGGGAAATTTAAAGTTGAATGACTAGGCGTGGACGTGTGTGACAACCAGATTTTGAACTGTGTTACTTTTTTGTTTTGGTTGAATGGCCTAAAAGTTGTTCCTTGTTATGTTTCATGTAAAGACAATGAAATCCAACTATGGTGGATAAGAAAAGTATAAGATAAATTAATAGCAATATATATAATAAGAGTACCTGAGCTTATTGTATTCATCCATTTTTGAAATATCATTGAGAGATATATGCAAAACTTCTGAACAAGAAAGGTTCCTCAAGCTAGTGGCAAGAGGGTTCCCCCAACGATAGCCTTGAACTGATAAATTCAAAAACTTGTCCTCAGATTTCTTCTCAAAAGGCAGCTGAAACACCTTTATTTGTTCCTGCTTCAACCTGGTTAGGAGCTCCTCGGGAATCCCATGATTCACAATTTGAAAGAAACCCCATTCCGTAGCGGCTCGAGCCATCTTTTCGATGCATTCTTGCCTCTCGAGTGGTCCGAGATTCAAATGACCGAGATCGATCAGGGGGAGTTCGAGTTCTTCGATGGCATCAACAATGATGGATTTCTCCTTTTCATCAGCAGACCTCTGGAAGATTGCCTTGTATTTCTCGAAAAATGGAGGTTCATTGGCCATTGCCCTCACTGTATCTTCTCAATCCTGCTCAGAAAAATGAACAAGGAGTAAGTATAATCCATACTCAATCAAAAGAACTACTATTTACATGAATTGTAGAAGTGTTTATGAAAAGATTTTAAAATTGTAGAAAATGGTCCAATGATCACAGGGATATGCACAGATACATACACTGAAATTACAATCTTAGACCAAAAAACAATTGAAGAAATTGGATCTTTCAATGCTTATTTATGTTGCTCTACATTTGCCAATGCTACTTATGAAATCATACCTACATATATATAGTACATATCAATATATGTCGTCCTTGCTACCTCTCATATGTTTTGGTTATGTCTGCAGTTACATAGTTGTTTTCATTATTTCATGAAAAAACAGTGAAAGAAAATTACTGAAGTTTTATCCCCTTTTAACTAATTTCAGAGCTGCAATTACTTATCCTTGTGTGGATTCAAAGTCATCCAGAACTGTCATTTAACCATTTACTGCCATAAATACACAGATTCCATGCATATTCTGTAAGATATTTTAGTACTGATTCATGTATTGGGGTTATGAATTAGCTTTCAATTACCTGATAGACACCAGCTTTGAATTTGTGTGTATTCACCTAATCTCCCTTGGTAGATACTTGACAAGCTCATAAGCAACTACAAGGAGAAGAAAGAACCCACAAACCATTTCTGCAATTCATATAATCAGAGTTTGAGGAAATTAATGATTAAAGGTAAAAGCAGCATACAATGGGATACATTCTAAGCATCTTAGAACAATATTCCTTTGACATTGGATGACCAGTCTTGGTGCTGTGTGTGTGTGTGTGTGTATGTATCTAGGTATGTATATAAAATGGGAGAGCTCTTCTAAGAAAGTGACAAGTTAATTTACGAAGTGTGTGGTCACGTTGTGTAGTTTTGATCTTCTTCTTTTTTTTTGGACATAGGAAAAAGGATTGTTTCCATAGAATCACACCTACTTAACCAAACATGTAGGAATCAAAGCGCAGGGAATGAAAGCACTAAACAAGAGGGATTTTTTTCATAGAAAATAATAAATTTTTCTAGGGTTTTTTTGGGAACTTTGAAAGAAAGACTGATAAAGCAATAAACCCATTTTATATATAAAACCAGAGAAAGATATTTATACATATATATACACACATATACATAATAGAAGATATGTGATATTGGATAAGAGAACTAATGGCTAAAGCACAGAACACGCGTCTAAAGAAGTCATCAGAGAAGAAAAAGAAAGAGACTATTAGTTACATGGCCACTGAAAAGTCCATTGACATTATAGGTCTGTCCCTCCCCATTTCAACAGCTAAAATGCTCATTAAAACTCTCATCTTTTCAATTGTTGTTGATAATGCCTTATCCGCAGACATTTTCCAATCAAAATGTTCAGTCATCATATCTGCAATTATGCATGCTTGTCTTTCATCAGAGGTTTTGCCCTCGCAAGAGGGTTCTACCTCCAAGGATATTTAATTTGTGCAACGTGCTTCCTGCACCATGCAAACAAGTTGTGATCCAGTTTTTGACACGAGACAGGTTCTCTTTCAATTATTCTCTGAAACATAATTAGTCCGCCATTTAATGTGGTTTTAGGGATAGATCAATCTACAGTTATGTCACTTCCATCAAATTATCCCAAAAAATTTGGGGGAAGGGGGAGGGATTGAAAGCAAGAATTAGATTATTGTAGCTATTTGATTCATGATGAAGCAAGAATTTCAAGTGGGGTTAGTGATTTGTTAGCGACATGATATGTTATATAATTTGATTGGTCTTAGAAGCTATCTCTAATTCAAATGTTAGGTATTGATAGTGAAGGTGGAATCCAATCTCTCTCTCTCAACTAATAAAAAAAATATCATTAATCATATTTAGCTGAATTAATCATAATATTGCGGGGACGATCTTTCTAAACTAATTTTTTTCTTTACGATATTAAGATTTAAACTTCTTTTATCTTAAAGTATTTAACGTTTCATCTCATTAAATTAATTGATATTAAAAAGGAAAGGGAATATAAAAATAAAATATTTTTTATTTGATGGGTAGTTTGGGTATTTTTTCAGGTTCTTTTATTTGATGATATTTTTATAAATTGTATTTATGATATCGGTATTGTATTTGATGATATTTTTGTTGTGTTCGTTATATATATATTATAGTATATTTTTATATTTACTAATAATTTAATTTTAAATATTTTATTTAAATTTTAAATAATTATTCTTAAATAATTAAAATATTATTTTTTTAAAATAATAAAATTCCCAAAAAAAAATTCTAATATCACTAATTATTAGCCAAAACAATCAACTATATAATTAAAGAAACCCAATTACTTTAATGAAGCCGAAACATTGTTTGAATGGGCTAAGTAGTTAGGCCCCCAACTCGTGAAAATATTTATATCTAAATATTGTTTAAAATAAGGATTAATATATAATATTATAGAATATATTATTTCAAATTTTAAATTTTAAACTCTAAAACTACAATTTTAAAGGATAAATCTTAAATTCTAAATCCTACTCCTTGATTCCATATTGTTGAGTTTCTTTTAACTTACCAGTAATGTATGGAATTATTTTCTTCAAATAATATTATTATGTTATTAAAAGAATAAGTTAATGTCTCAATATTTAAAATCAATTTTTTTAAGACGTCGTAGAAAGAAATTATAATCTAAAAATAAATATTATAGATAGATAGATATATAGATAAATAGATAAAAAAAATCCATATTTATATATATATATACAATATCCAAAGTAATGAATGTAGCTAATTTCTTCCCTCCATTTTTTTGGGGGGGAAAAAGAAATTGGGCATTGCCATTTCCATATAAACATAATTTATTCAAAGGACGAGTCTGTCACGTTCGACGAGTACCGATGAGTATTATTGATTTAATTTATAAAAATTTAAAATTCTAAATGACTCAACGTATAATTATAAATTAATTAAAAATTTAAAGATAACTTATTTAGAGTAAAATATTAATTACATTATTTTCATAATCTTTTTTAACAATAATTGAATCAAATATCAACCCTTAAATTTAAAAACCCTAAATATTTTTCGTGTGTAATTAATTTACCTTTAGATTTTTAAATAATTTATAATTATATGTTGAGTCTTTTAAAATTTTAAAATCTTATAAATTAAATAAATGATGTTCAACGATACTTGTCGTTAGTAACGCTCAACTGTACTCATCGAGCGTCGTAAAAGTTTCGTTTATGCAAATAAGAACAAATCGACATTGATAAGAACATAAATTTCCAAAGCCCGTCATGTCCGAAAGGAAACGCCCCCAGGGTTTTGTAGTAATACTTTTCTTTCCGATGGGGTTCTGCCTTTTTGGCCAATAGTTCACGTGCACACTGCCTGCTTTTGCATGAACTTCACGTGCTAACCCAAAGGCCAAAGGGCTTTTGCTTAGAGAGATGCACACATATATGCATCACGCACTGCGTGGATGGCGGGACCTCGTTTTGTGTCAGTCGGACGTGAAGCCCTGGTCGGAGAATTGGATAGGGTGCATTGTCTACAACAAAAAAGAAAATCAATTTGCTCACGTGTCCATCTGTGCATAAATGACACCAAGGCTCCACCCAACAACTGTTTTGTTTAATATCTCCAGAATTTGATGATAGAGTTTGTAGACCAACTTAAAACTTTAAAAATTTTAGGGGTTAAACTAAAATTTCCTAAAAGATTGAATGATTCAAATTACTTTACCAAAATTTTGGGAGGCTTAATGAGAATTTTTAAAAATTATGAGAGGAGTTTAATTAAGAACATTAGAAAATTTAAATGCTTAATCTAAATTCCTAAAAATTTTGTAGGGCCAAATTAATTTTTTTTTAATTTTAAGAGTCAAAATTATAATTTTTCAATTTTTTTTATTTTGGGTGAGGGGAGGGTATGACTCGCACTAGTCTTCATTGTGTTCCGCCTCTAATATTATATCCATCAACAAAATGTCCCTAACTGAAAAATGAATAAGTCTTTGATGAGCATAAAGGTTCATTACACAAGTCTTTGATAGTGCAATTCCTGTATTAACCAAGAGCCTAAAATGGAATCACCGATCACCTAGCGAAAGGACGTCGTATCTGTTTTTTATCATGCGCGTGAGATATGGTTTTTGCTCTAATTCCTCCTAATGTATTAAGTATAGTATGGTATAATTGTGGTGTACTCTTTTTCTTCGATTAAGATTAAAGAAATTTTTAACGAGACATACAATTCAGATCTTTATCTTAATAATAAATATATTATCGAGAAAAAAATACATAAGTATTTGATGTCGACTTCATATAGAGATAAAATTATCATCCTTGAAAATCACCCCAATCCACCAAAAAAATTGATACATGTATAGAAGGGTTAAAATTAGTTATTTTGAAAAAGAATTTTTGGTTGTTTGAAGGTTACAACATCATCATATTTACGATGAATCTTTGAATGAAATTTTGAATATTTTCGAGTTGAGATGTTTCCTCACAAAATAATTAATTTTTAATAAAATATCGATAACTCAAGATACAACCATTTAAACAAAGACATTACATACAAAAAAAAAATTGAAATTAAATTCAACGTGAGACTATATATGTGTATTTTAGATAAACTTGGATCAAATTTAATATTTATTTATATTTTATTAATTGATTTAGATAAGTTAGGATTTGTTTTATATTTTATTTTATTAGTTTCATAGTTTAGTTCAAATACATTTTTAGAAAACTTACTTAAGTTTTACTACTTTTTTTAACATAGAAATACGTATTTTGCATGTGTAATTCAACACGGAATTCAAAAATAAGTCATTTATGCTTTTTATTTTATTTTATTCTTATTTTTAAATATAATATCTAATTGCGTCTAAATTATTAAGGATAAACTGTCTTTAAAGAGTTAGATGTACAATTATTCGAGCCCATAATCTTATTTAAATTACTAACATGAAATAGCCATGAAAGATTAGATGTTGTAGATTGAATTTTTTATATTTGT